CAGCTTTTTTACATACATAAAATGAAAGGCATTCACGGGTTACAGGAAACTAGGTCCAGGGCATCAGATTGGTAAAATCAAACTTTTACAGTAGCTTCCAGATGTTCTGGAGCATAAGTTAATGAGAGCACATGGAAACATATCAAAAAAAATATCAGGAAACACATTTTTTTACACAAAAGAAAACCAGTGGAAAAATATTATATGCATAATGCTGGAATGCAGTTATTGTCATTATCACTCTGGGTATTTCTGTTTTCATTTTAATTCCACGTGGTATTTAAAACAACAAAAGAAAAACATTTTTCTATAAATTAATAAATGATAAAAGATTTGTGTGTTCAATCATCATAGGATTTTTCCTGATGTTTAAAATACATATGCAGTCCTTCTTTTTTTCAAGTAATGTAAATTTCGGGGAAGTGGCTTAAAACTCTTCCTTTAAACCCAATTTTAAGCTTTATAAACTAAACAAATTTTAGAGATACACATTTCCTCACATTTTGGCACTACAGTTCCATCATCTTGATACACATATTATATATTATTGCCCATATATTCTACACCTAGGAAGTCCTAGAAGAATAAGGCACGGGAATGGGCAGGTACTATGAGAAATTTTTATTTATATATCCGATATTGTTGACTTATTTGAAATGCTATGTTCTGAATGTTTACACCTACCTTAAATAGATCACATGCCAGTTTTGGACAGACTCACATAGATTTCAAAAGGATTGGACAAAAATAGATTGCATTGTCTGATACATTAAACATGGGTTGGATGCATTCCCTTTCTGAGGCCTTAAAATCTTAGTAATCACACCTCTATAAATTAGTAACTATTCACCAAATCACAGATGTGTGATCTCCTGCTCTTTTTCAGATAAAAGCAAAGAACAGAAATATATGAACCTTCAACAGGATTTGTGCACCTGAAAAAAGGAACCAGCCCTTCCAAAAATATAAAACTCTATACCTCATGGAAATCTTAGTATCATCCACGTTACATGGTATCATGATGTCTCAGCTCTGCCGCATAACGGCCTCTGGAGGAGTGTCCAGAAACATTATGATCATGGAGGTATCAACACGATCAAAGCCCCAGCTCTTTTTTACATGTACGGAACACACATTAAAGGGGTGTGTTTGCAAAGGCTTTAATTGCACCAACCATTTTTACTTTTTTGACCTTCACCCACTGGACACCCAACAGCAATACATACATATGTACATACCTATATACATACATATTTAATCAAATTATAATTTGATTATAGGAACCTTAGTTTGATGGATGAAAGAGGGGACATAACATCGTTAGAGCAAATAGAGGGGTGGATGAATATGGCAGTCCTACATAAAGGTAATTGAGCACACAGTAACCCATTCATATTTATGCAAGACAATTGCTGAAAAGTTACAGCTTCATACTAAAGGCCAGAGTCACAGAAAATGAAAGTTTTCTTAATCTTTCCTCTTGTACAGTTTTTCTATAGAAAATCAAATCTCCAGCACCAATATTTTGAGTGCCACTGGAGAAAAGACAGGGGTATTTCAACAGTCCTTCCTTTGGACCAAAGTGTTTTAGGGCATTGAAAGCAACTGTCTCACCACTGGGGGTATCAGAAAAATTGGGCTATCTCAAAGCCCCAATTAATTTTGTTTACTTTCAGACATTTCTACCACTCTTTTCTCTCAAGTATACAAGAGAATTTACAACATGTAACTGCTCTATTTGGACTCTTGACTAATCTTCAAAAATATTGAACAGCATGATAACTTTGCATACAACAAAGGACCAGTGGCCCATATTATCACATGCAAAAAAGTTCAAAATGCTGCTAACCTTCCTGCTTGCAAAATTGCAAAACAATGTCTGAAATAGTAGACATCAGACATGAGCTTCATGGAGTAGAAGTTACAGCTGTGTGTATGCATATTGTTATTTTAATATGACTTTGGGGAGTTGGCCATTATATACACAAACAGAACACCAAGACAAGACAGTCTAACAACATACAGAGCAACATAATGTTAAGGTCTATGTTTTATTTTTTCTTTCTTTTATTTTGCATGTTATCTTTCTATTATTATATTATTGCTTACATTACACTGCAGGAGATGGAAAGCAGGATTCTGAGAGCTCTGCAGAAAGGCTAATTTTATCCAGATCCTCCCCTCCTTGAACTATTTTCATATTTAAAACTTGGTGCCTCGTTTGCTCTTTCATCCCTTCCCTTTTCATTTCTTCCTACTGTACTTTTATGCTATGCATTATTTGAATGTGGGGCAAAAGTGCCCAACGGGTATGGTTAAAAAGAAAAATTGTCCAGGTAGTGGCAATGTACATAAAAAGGAAGATCGAGCTTCAACTGTACCATCATAATCTTGATTCTTTTGACCACACCCTGTAGACAACTCAATGTAGGACTGCAGGCCAAAACTATCTTATTTTAATGACCATGTTTAAAACCCATACTAGGAAATAAACAAATAAAATAAAATCATTTTGAAAGAATCACCAATAGCAATAGCAATAGCAGTAGACTTATATACCGCTTCATAGGGCTTTCAGCCCTCTCTAAGCGGTTTACAGAGAGTCAGCATATTGCCC